CAATCATTTGCAACTTAGTCTCTGACAAATACAACCAAGCAACACTGGCTGGTATCTGTAGGTTTCAAAGAATACCAGCTTCCACCAGAATTTACACATTAATTAAGTGAATATACACATTCACTTAAGAGGTATTTCTCCAAGGCCCTCCTAAGTGCCATGCACTTGTGGTGACTCTCCCTCATCCAGATCCTGTACTTGGAAACAGCGAACCCCACGCTTGGCCCCAAGAGGTCAAGCACTGGGAGGGCAGCCCTGGCCAGTGTGGCTCAGTTGGTTGAACATTGCCCCACGCACCTGGTTCGATTCCCAGTCAGGGCACATGCCTGGGTTGTGGGTTCAATCCCTAATAGGGGGCATGCAGGAGGCAGCCGATGGATGTTTCTCTCTCACATCCATGTTTTTCTCTCTCCCTTCCTCTAAAATCAATAAAAACATTTTTTAAAAAAAATTGGAACGGCAACTTGACTTTGGGTAGGGTACCTCCCTCTGGGCCTGTTTGCCCACCTTTAAAATGAAGGGAGTGGACCAGTTTTTAAACTGTAATCAGAGGACCCCTAGTGTTCCACAGGGGTATTTGAGACTTAAGGGAAGGCCTGTTGAACCGCCCATGAGCCTCTTCCATTTGCTCACTTGGGCAAACCTGCTTTTTTTTTTTTTTAAATCCTCAACTGAGAATGCTTTTTCCATTGCTTTTCAGAGTGGAAGGGACAGACAGAAACATTGATGTGAAAGAGACACACTGATTGGTTGCCTCCCACATGCACCCCAACCAGGACCAGGGATCAAGCCTGCCACCTAGGTACGTGACCTTGGCTGTAATGGAACCGGGGACCCTTCAGTCCACAGCCCGACACTCTAACCACTGAGCCAAACTGGCTAGGGCTGGGCAAGCCTGCTTTTACAAACCACCATCTCTGTCCAATTTCTTTTGGTGAAAATATTCCTTTGCTGAAGGGAAAGTTTGACCAGATGACTCCTATAGTCCAACCTTCCAGCGTTTCTAGCTCTAAGGTCCTCAGTCAAAAATTTATCTTCCTCTCGAGACTCTGTGCTCAGCAGCAAAATAAACCAAACACTGGACAACTGCTCCCTAAAGGGCTCCTTCATTAGAAATTATTCCCCAAACAGGGCATTTAACCCTCGTAAGGGGTAAATAAAAAGGCATCAACCCCACCAAAAGGATTCAAAGCTGGTGTTTATTACCAAATATCAGTCACAGGCCAAAAACTTCTTTTAATGTTACTGCAGAAAGCAGTGAGGTGATTTCTGGGGCTTTCCTAGGTTTTGGGGTGTGTTTTCTAGGTAGTAGAGATAACCATTATTTTATTAGCAGGGAACCATGTTCATTTAGTGAGATAAACCAGGAACTCCAAAATGTGAGACCTGCCTTGCTGATTCGGATCTGGGGCGGTGCCCCAGAGCTATCTTTTTTAATAACTCAGCAAATGACCCTTGTGCCCAGCCATGTTTGGGATGGCAGAGCTCATATTCTGCAGTAGTCCTGAATATAACTGATTTTCTAGGCTTCTCTGCTCCGCTTACTAAAATATTGCTCAGGGTTGCCTGCTGCAGTGTAAGACTGGAATGCGGGGGGTATGTAGGTTGGGGATCTTGGAGATCTGGAAAACATACCCCTGCCCTACAGGAACTTAGCCAAAGTCCCAGGACAGTCCATTTAGGAGAAACCCACTGTCTCCAACTGGGCCCCACGCTTCTGAAGGGCAGAGATGGAGACCCATGCTTAGCTCCCTCCCCACAGGACCATGGTAGACCAGGCACTCAACCATTCACAACCATTCACATGTACCAAGCAGGAACTCCCACGGGTGTTAGAGTCGGCCCTGTAAGGGGGAGAACACCCTTTTATTTATTCCTAATTCCCATGAAAGGAAACCTCAATCCCCTACCAAATGACAAAGAGAGACAACAGGATTTTATTATTATTTTATTTTCATATACAAAAAGATAAAACTTGAAATAGTTCTAGATTTTTCCTCCTATTCTGTTGGGGTGTGGCTGCTTCTTCACACGGGGAGGGGGGGACTACATTCACATCGGTTTATTTGAGGACCCAGTGCAGAGTTCAAGCAGCAAAACCCCAACTTCGCAGAGCTAATTTCAAACTTGACACTCATTTCTAAAATTACCACAGTAAAAAGGAACAAAGATCCACTGCAAATGAATGAACTATGATACAATGTTCTTTCCAAAATGTCTTCATTTTGCAACTGTAATTACATGGATGTCTGCTTTAGGCCATTTTAGATGTGTGCGTGTATATAATATATATGTGTGTGTGTGTAATATATATATATATATATATATATCAGCGCACTTTTCAAATCCAGACAGGGTAACAGCAACAAGCTTAACTCTGTATATATATATGTAGTTTTAAAAACATGGTACTTTAGTATAATTTTTGTTAATTCAGTAGTACAAGCTATTTCTGGTCTACATAATTTTTATTTTATAGCTACAAGGATGAAAGTGACCTATTACATTTACACCTCACATATCCTGGTATACAAACAGTACTTCATTGAATTTGAGCCCCAAACTAGAAGTCTTTCGTTTTAACAACTGAAGAGCTTCCTCACTTCTACAGCCTTAAATCAGAGACTAGTCACATTTCCAGAGTTTGCAATTACTCGTTTTAAAACTGCAAGAAACAGGTGAATCCAAACTTTTAATTACAATTTTTTTTATATACAAGTTAGATAACACAGCTCAATAACTTCACTATCATCCTAAACCAACACACACATTCTCCACCAAGTTAGACAAGTCTTAGGATTTTCCTCTTTCTCCTTACAAATAATGTACAAATTTAGAAGTCGCTGGTAAAACTGATACATAAGATGGCAAATGAGAGGTGAAACTTTTCGTTGGTTCCAAAATTCATCCGGCAAATTTTATACCCTGCTGCTGTGTTTCTTTATGTGTCTGTTACATGCAGAAGCTCTTTTCACAAGAACTGACATCAAACTCGATATAAAATTTACAGTACTGTATAGTTATTCAGATTCGAGGACAAATGTGGAAAAACATTAACAGGTGAAAAATTCGGCCTTTGACACTACCGTTAAGATCATGTCAAACCCATAAGCAGATTCTTTTGTACAGTTGAAAATGGCTTTGTGTTGACTTGTGGCGTGGAATTGAAATCTAGAAGTTATGTTTCTAATCTGCGGTAACCCTCACCCTCAATTCTCAAGTACCACTCAATGTTCTTTGCATTTTTACAAAATTCTAGAAGAAGAAAAAAAATGGGGGGGAAAAGCCGCTGGCATTTTCACAATTCCTCCCCTCACGAGAGGTCTTAACACTTTCAGATGAGATCGCCTAGGAATCTCTGTGATCACTGGCTCTCAGACGGCATTGGACAATGACTTGGACGCTTCCCAAATCAAAACCCAAATGTTGCCTAATCTAGCCTACTCTCTCGTCTCTGTCATTGCTGGTAAAATTTGGATGAGCGCGGTTTTCCCTTATGGAGAAATTATTTGGCTAAAATGCACGTGACTTGTGGCAGTGCTCAGTGAAAACCCCACTTGGGCTAAAGCACTTGCAGGGACTCAAGTCCACAGTCCACTGAGCGGGGCAGAGACCAAACACCACCAGGGCCGAGTGGAGACCCACTGGGAACACGGACCTCGGCGTCCCAGGGTCAGCGGGTCAGCGGGTGGACCCAGGTAGGCAGCCCACAGTCCCATTGGCTGAGACACCGCTTTTGATCTTGGTCTGCCGTCTATGCCCCAGAGACAAAAATTCAGATGTGGTGACTGCTGGTTAATTAAACTTTTTGAACTGGTAAAAAAGACTCTTTAAAAAATATATATATATTTATTTAAAATACATTAAAATGACAAACAGCCATATCCCGCAAGGCCTAATTTCACAGCAACATATGCTAACAGACGTCTTCCCCGAGTGCACTGCGGTGGAGGGTGGGTTTTTGAGTCTGCCACGGAAAGGAATGTTCGACATTGGAGCTTCGGCGACTGGAAACGTGTTACAAAGAGCTCATCTTTGGAACTGACGGGTGTGCAAGCCAGTCCATTGGATCACTTTGCCCGTTCAGACACGAGAATACTGAAAATGGCAGAGTTCGAAGAGGGACACAGGAAGCACCGTTCGATGACACTCCAGACCCGCCCACCACAGTGCGTGAGGAGCTTGCCAGAAGCCCCCCTTTTTCAGTCCTTGGGAAAAGTCCACTTCACAACACAGAAGTGCCTACACGTGGCAGGGTCCCTGCCCATGTATGTTACAAGCCTACAGTATCGAGGCCCCGGATGGTGACACTGTTCGACGTGAGGTCTGAGGTAACTGGTTCTTAAAACACCTGGAGCACAGAAACTGCATCCAGAAGTTACAGCTGGGAATAAAGAAAATAAGTGGGGCTGGGAGCTGGAAAAGACAAGTAGAAAAAAAGCTTACAGCAGTTGCTTTTGGGGGGAGGCAGGTGACAAAAACAAAGGCACAACAGAATTACATTCCCAGAGACGGGCTGGAGGGCGCAGAAATGGTCTTTTATGGGGAACAGGGAAAGGAACGATGGGTGGGTTCCCGGAGGGCTACTGGATCTGTTGAAATGAAATTTATTCCAAGTACAAAACGGGCCAAGTGTAAAACTTCACTCTGCACCAGACCGAATGAGCAGCACAGCTGACTTAAGATGACACAGGAGGGACTCTCCCGACACAACTGCCCAAGCAGGGCACCTCTGAGCGCCTGGAGCCAGCGGGCAGGTCTGGGGTGTAGGCCTCCAGCTGGGCCGCAGGACCAGCTCAAGGATCAGCTTCATTGCCCACTCCCCCCCACATCCCTATCAAAAAGGCTCACCCAAATGACCATCAGCTCTCTACCCCAAAATAAAAAGGCCTTCCACATGGCGGCGATGCTGACCTTGGTGGGAAGAGCAGGAAACCTATGGAGACATTAGAAAGATGCCCTGCCGGTGTGAGTTCTGAGCTTCCAGGCTCCCGGCTGACTCGATGGACTAAAGCCTCGAATTAACCCACTCTCGCTTCTGAACCGCCCTGACCAGAAAGGACAAGATGTGCCTGGCAGCTCTCCGTTTCACCTGATCACTGTCCACAGACCACCCTCTCCACCTTCCCCCTTTTCCAAATAAATACTCAACTGGCAATCCTGTCCTGGAAACTGGAGAATTTGGTCCTAGATCATTCAGTTTGGTGAATTACTCCTATCACCAAATCTAGTCCCGACCTGCCCCAATCTGCACCCCCATTCAATTTCTGTTCCCCCACACGACTGCATCCTAGGGCAGGAGCTTACACACTGATTTTTAACCTTTGTTGAAAAGAAATCTCAGGAGGAAGCGCAAATGTGAAACACCATGAGGCTCTTCTCGCCTCTGCCCAGGCACTCTCCTCCCATCTGCAGGGAGCCCGGCCAAGGCATCAGTCCTACGTGGCCACAGTGGAGTTCTGGCCAAACAAGACCCACAACTGGACTCCAATCCACCAGTGTATCACGGGAATCCAGGTGAGCCTAAGTCAAAGCTCCACCCACTCACACTCCAGTGTACATTAATCCTGAAAGGTAGAGCTCATGACTCTGGCTACAAAATCATCCTTATCAAACTCACTAGACTTTATAAAAATAATCTGGTATAAAACAATCTCCACACCGCGCAGAAGACTCTGTCAGGTGATATAACTAAATAGATACGTAGAGCTATAGATTTCTTCTTAAAGTAAAATTTCAAGTGTCGTATCTCTATTATAGAACCTATTCTTTTATTTACAATGCTAGTTAACAACATTCTGATGCCAACGTGATCGGGACGGATGGGGGATGAGCCCTCTTGCCCAACCGACAGCAGAAATTTGCAGGACCCAAGACAGAACTCACCCACTTGCAAAAAAAAAAAAAACACACACCAAAAAAAAAAACAAAAACCCATTAGCTAATGGGTCATATTTTTCATAACTATGAGCTCAAAATGTAAACTCTGAAAATGTGACACTTTCCCACAGATGTCCAGAAGAGCCCACATCTGTATAACCTACCACACACACACGTGTCCATGTGCCTATTTCTTTAGTGTCCTGTAGTTGGCTTGCAGTTCTCAGAATTGCCCAGGCCCCAGACAACCCAGAGACACTCCAGAGGCCATCACTACACATTGGCGTTGAGAAAATGGGCATTTTAATTCACAAGGAAAAAACCACTAGTATTATCTCTACGAGCTGCCATAGGAGCCAATAAAGTATCACTGGTTTTGGCACTACAGGGATACATGGAGTACCACAACTGAAAGTCCTGCTGCTTTCATACCTGGAAGAGACCCTCACGAAACGTAACAGCTTGGTAAAAACGCAGATGGTGGTAAATCCTTTAAATTCAAAGTCCTGTCCAAACCAAAGATTACAGTAGACCCAAAATAGTGAGTATATAAAACAGGAACATTAAAAATACCTCACCAGATCATCTGGACTTTTCATTTGATGTGAGTTTGTGGGTCTCTTGGACCCATTTATTGTTTTTAAAATGTAGCTGTAGCTGAGACAACTGAATTTCCAAGGGGTGGGGGTGGGTTGTTGTAAACTTCAGTTTATTTTTCCTACAAAACTAAATCATTATCTTAAAAAAACTTTCCAAGCCTTCAAAGGGTTTGGGATACATTCATAGGTGAATTGCTGGTTACAAATCAATGACCAGGAATCTTACTTAAAGAACTAGGGGTATAACCCTGAATCCATTCAACGTTTACAAATCTAGACCGAGACGATGAAAGACTTCATCAACTGAATTACTGGGCCTGTTTCTCTGCCAAAAACATTACAGTTCACCGCGACTGAAACTTCTCATTACTTGGTTGAACACAGTAGCTGCTGTGTATTTTACTAGTTCAGCTTTTGTAAATAGCCATTGACCAAGGAGAATTCACATCACCCAAATGAGAAAAAGCCGTCGTGCCCTTTCCTCCCTGGTTGCTCACCCTGGATGAGGGGTGGAGTAAATTCACTGTGCTTCTTGGGAAGCTGTGGTTTAGTGCCCTTGAAAAGTGAACCACGCCTGGCTCTCTCTCCAAAGGTAAGCCATTAAGAACCCAACAGGCTACTGAAATAGCCAAGACTGACAATCAAACTAGAGTTAAGTTCTGGAACATGCTTTCCCAATCAGGGATTTATTTTTCTAGTGAGTCAAGTTCTCAGGAATAATACCTGGCTACTGGACTTTTAGTACCAATTCTAAAACCTTACGTACTTACACTCACTATATCACTAAAAAACAACAAACCCTTGTATTACCAACAGGTCCTGGGGATTTTACATGGAATTCTTAAAAAAAAAAAAAAAAAAGCAAAATTCCATTTGCAAGAGGGGGCCATCCAGTCCTCCCACCCTGGATGGGACGGCCACTTCCTGCCCTTGTGGCTCATAGTACAGGGGCCACGCGACTGGCTTTCTGAGCCCCACACAGCACATGGTGGACATTCAATACACAGCCAGGCTTGCCACCAAGAAAACACTACACACACAGCCCACGTGCCCAGTACAGAGTGGCAGGGTGGCAGGGAACAAGAGCGTAGCCAACTGGAGAGAAAGGTGACAGAACAGGATCACCTGCTTTGCTTTCTAAAGCATGATGTGACAAGCCGTGACAAGAGGGTTAGCCTGGCCTTCGGGGGAACAGAAGAACTATCTTGGTAGCCTTGAGATGAGACCCTTCCCTTGGCTGAGAATACGTGGGTGGGGGGTTTGAGCTTCCCAAGATGTTCAAGGCTGGACACCCATGCACCAAGTCTGGACAGGATAAGTCCTAAGTCAGAAGCAGCTGGCACACATGGGGAAGCCTCCCCGGGCAGAGCTGACCCCTCTGGGCACCTACCAGAAGCCAGCACAACAGGAAGCCCTTGCTGAGTAACAAAGGCTGGTGATGCTCCCACTTTCCCTCATAACCAGGTCTCCCTGTCTCCCAAATATGGTCCATCTGCAGCCCCTGCCCTGAGTAACTCGCTCAGAGGAGGACCCCTGGTCGGGACCAATGGTCCCAGGAGAAAACCTGGCTCGTGCCGGCCTCAGATGTCTAATGACTACGCTCACGCCTCCCTGGCCCCACTCCTCCCATCACCGAGTCCTCTGCAGGACACCGTGACACAGTGTCCTCTGACCCACTTGCTTTCTTTCTCTTGCTCATAGCTGAGCTTCTCTGGTAAGGGATGTTTCCCCTCAGGAATCGTCAGTGTTTGCAAACACAACACCCCAAAGCCCGTCCCACAGCCAGGAGCCTGCTGGGATGAAGGATAGTAGAAAAGAGAAAGTGAGGGTTCTTGGCTGCCCTCCCCCTGCAGATGGGGCAGCCTCCCCCCTGGGCAGGGATGATGCCCGACTCCCTTACAGCCGGTCCTTCACAGAGCCACCTGAACTCCCCGAAAATGAGTGTCACCTGAAATCTTCGTGGCGAAGAACACGGTCCCTATAATCCCCCCACACACAAACTGGGCTCCAGATGGTGCACTCCCCAGAGAGTACATGACAGCAGACAGACAAATACCTTAGAGGCAAAGGGTACACCCAGGCTCCCTGTGCACACCCTGGGAAGAAATCACCCCTCCTTCCAGCCAGCAGCAGCCGTCGGGAACACGGCCCATCTGACAGGTGCATTTCACAGCAGGATGGCGAGAGGTAGCCTGGAGCCCAGAGAGCTGGCACAGAACCCCCTGGCCTCTCCCCTCTCCTGGCCACACCTAACAGGACCATCTCCTGACAGCATCCTGGTGCCAAGACCCCAGAGAGATGCCACAGTGGCCAAACACAGGGTCAGCAAAGAGGGAGCCCACCGGATAAAAGGCACGCAGGCCACCAGGAAGGTGTCCTGACCAGCAGGTCCCCACGTGAGGGCCACGGCTCAGCCCTCCACAGCCAGGACCAAACTAGTTTTTCTGAAAGTCAAGCCAGCACACAAAAGTAAAGCCACCCAGAGGACACAGCCACAGCAGGAGAGGCTGGCCCGGGGGTAGAACAGGGACCCAGTCATGCCCGTGGCACATCAGCTACATGTGTTACTGGTTCACTTGTTTCGAGGGTGAGAAGTGGAGATGCCCAGCACTGCCTGAGGAGAAAGCTAAAGAAATTAGATATGGCACTTTTCAATAAATACTTTAAAGCTTCTTAAAGAAATAAGTGAAAAAGACAAGCAACTGCTGTAAGGCCTGTTTTGCCGTTAAAAACTATTCCAAGGGAAGAAAAACACCACAGCACAAAATAGTGTTTTTTTTTAAAGTAAACAACAACACAGCTTACAAAAAAACAGAAAACAAGAAAAAACAAACACCTGTCCCTGTAACCACCTTGGCCAGCTCACATTTTGACCCATGAAGCAAAAACTGAGCTCTGGGGGGGAGCAACCTCCCCTTCCCTGCCGCCCTGTGCCCAGACAGGCCCGGGACGCCGCTCACGGCGTGCTGAGCACCGCAGACGGCCCCGGGGTGCGCCGGCGGGGTGCGCCGGCGGGCTGCGAACTCCCGGCAACAGTGACAGCCCCCCGGCCACGCTCGCCCAGCACAGACCCCTAGTCAGTGTGGATCCACAGACACACTACGGGTCTCTTCCACGATCGCCGCTGCTAACGTCCTCAAGAAACCAAATCTCAAGTAAAATGACCTCCTGCAGGTCTCCAAGGGCCACAGTTTCACCGAGTTACAGTGGGGTTACCTGTCATTCTGAACATCAACCCATCAAGTGGCGGGAGACGTCGGAACCTCCAAATGACCCAAGAGGAGGTGACCCCTCCCAGTCTCACCCCATCGCCCACCAACTCCCCTCAAGATGAAGAGATCCAGTTTTTAAATAAAATGGTCTAAAGAAACCAGGAGGAAAAGCCTTCACCAACAGGCGTGATGAATGCCCGGACTCGGCCCAACAGCCGACCGACCTACAGTTGGTGACAATTATTTACAAGGGGCGTTATCAAACAAAAATGGTCGCGCTACCTACAAGACTCAAACTTGTTTTCTTTTTCTCTATTTCTCTTAAACTTTCTTGTCATAAAAGCCAACTTACATTAAAATATACTTATTACAAAACAACACAACTAATAAAATAGATAATAAAACTTACACGAGTAGAAAATTCTGAGGTATTTCTGGTTTGAGGTGGTCTGTGGTCGTGAAGTTTTATTTTTTTCAAAATTTAAACCTCGGAAGCCACATAGCAAAGCTTTGTGTGTGTACGTGGATGTGTGTGTTTTGTTTGTGTGGTGTGTTCTTTAAATTTTGCATGTTTCATAAATTTTAAAAAAAGTCAAATGTTGAAACAGCAGCATTAAGAACATTCACTGACCAGAGCAAGATAGTTATGGCATCATAACGGGGTTTTAGAAAATGCACCACTTTAAGGGGTCTGGAGAAAGCCGTGTCCACAAGCCACAGAAAGGGGACAGTCATGTCACCACAGGGGGTAGAGCCAGCACTGCAGGACTCTGGGGTCCCTCTGCAGGGGGGCGGGTCTCGGGCCTCCCGGGGAATTCCTCTAGTCCTCGCCGAGCAGGGCGCCCCCTGTGGGCATCTCCCTGAACTGCTCCAGGAGGAAGCGATGTATTTCAACTTCTCCTTCAAAGATATTTACAGCATCTTACGAAGAATGCACTCACTGTGCAATACAATATACCGTGATTTCCACCCTTACCTCAGCTTTAAAAATAGGGCAGAAAGAAATGTTTTGTCCAAGCCCGAGTTAGTGGGAAAAACTGGCCAGGGCCAGCAGATGGGTCAGAGCCACACCCGCTTTGGGACTTTCTCCAAACCCCGCTCTTGCCGTTCATGCTCGGCCTCCGCACGGTCCTTCCCCTCAATTCCTCGTTACCTGAGAAGTCGCCTCATAGCAAAGGATGTTGCTCCGACATGTGCCCGAGTCCAGTGTCGCTCTGTTCCAGACCGGCCCCCAGCTCCGCCCTCCCCTCCTCCTCCCAGCTCTGCCTCGGTCAGGACACCCGTTAATCCGTGCAAGACACATCTGCTGTTTCTTAAACTCACTGTCTAAAAAGGGGGAAAAACACAATGGGGGGGGGGACGAGGGAAGAAGGAAACTCCTCTGGAGGAAGGTGGGTTCCACGTAACAGTCTTCAAAGGTTCCTCTGGGAAGAGTTTGCAGCATTTAGTTTCCTAAGACAGGAGATGGGTTTCTCTGTGTCGCAGGTTCTGAGACGACGAACGAAGAGAAAGCGGGAGACATGACCCCAAGGACGGGAGGTGGCTGAGGCTCCTCAGCATGGCGCTGGCTCTGCATTCACAGCTCAGCACCTCAGCGCCTGCTGACGCGTCCGCTGTTGCGATACAGTAGAGCAATGTGCTGGTAAAACTGATCCAATCCAAAAAATAATATTAATAATAATTATAATAATTATAATAATAATAAAAAGTCAAGGTAAAATAGCAGCTGCTTTGTATGTGTTTGTTGGTGTTACGGGATTTCCAGAACAAAACACAACTTTTTTTTTTTCCTTTCCTCTTCAGATCCACTGAGTCTGGAGAGCCACTGGTGTCTGGGCTTAGATGCTTGACTCTTTCGGGGGCAGGTCCACATTGGTGACGGAGGTCACCAGAGAGACAAGACAGTCCGAGGTAGTGCCGTTGACCGACCTCCGGATCAGGGACACCCGCTCCTCCACGCAGCCTGCGGACAGGCGAGCCTCTGCGTCGTGGTCCCAGCACTCCTCGATGGTCACACAGAGCTGGGCCAGGCCCTGCTCAATGACAGGGGAGAGGAAAACACAGGCTCATTAGCACCCCTCAGTGAGGACAAGCCTGGGGGACAGCAAGCTTGATGATGTTCCTGAGGATCAGGCACAGCTCACAGGTGAGTCCCAACCCAAGCAGCAGCCAAGCAGCAGGGGGCTAAGGGATGCTGAGGGAATCAGGATGCCGTCCCTCCTGGCAGTCACCATCCTGAGTCCACTGGCCTCCCACCACAGCCCAACAGAAGGTCTACTGAACCTCAACGTAGGAAGGAGGGAACCAGGACCCTCCTGGGGCAGATACAGTGACACTCAGACAAAACTCTTACTCAAAGCCAAAGTCACGTAAAGGCCAAAAAAGCAGTGGTCACAGTGAAGACCAAAGGAGGGCACCGTCCCCCTCCCCCAATTCCCCTCAGTCCCTGGGGCCACTCCCTAGAGTTCAGGGAATGTGGTGGTATGACACCCTATGCTGGAGTCAACTGTGCGGAGCCGGGAAACGTAGAGAGTGGACAGAAGGCCCACATCCAGGAGCTCTCTGGCTGGCTCAGCTACACCAAGACCTCGCTGGACCCTGGGCTCCTCATCAGGGAACCGGACCAGCTACCCCAGCATTTCTGCCTTGGGAGACTGAGAAATTCTGAGGCAGAAGGTAGATTCTGACCCAGCTTCCACCTCCTTCACTTACAACCCTGGGTTCCAGGGAGCAGCGTGGCAGCTGAACTTGGCCTCAAGAACTTGACCTCTGACGGTATATATGGTCAAGGGCTCACCCCCAGTGGTCCCAAGGCAGTCCTTTTTCTGAATTAACCCTGGGGTGGGCAGGGGGGTGGGAATCTATGGAGCTGAAGGCAAATATCCTTCCAAGAAAGGAAATGGTTTGCACGAGTGGGGTCTAACAGCCCCCGAGTGGAGGAGCCCAGATGCCACTTGGCTCAGCCCATGCCCAGAAAATGATGAAGGCAGAGAACAGAGAATATTAAACCAGAACTCATCCATATTAAGCATTTATATGATGCAAATGTCCAGCCAAGAGATTTATAATGATAACTCATTAAATCTATTACTACCCAGAAGGGACAGAGGCTCGGAGAAATACAACAATTGGCCTGAAGTCACCCAGCTACTGATTGCCAGATCCAGGACTCAAACCCAGATGGGTCAGGCTGAGGGCCAGCAGGCTCCACTGCATTGGTGACCTACACGGGGGCAATCTGGGCCCTGGCCAAGAAAACCCAGAGCTGTGTCCCTGCAGAGCACTGAACCTCCCCTAACACTTCCCTGTTGGGAGAGAGAAAACACACTAAGTGGCCTCTGGCCTGGTGGAGGAGGAGAGGGCTGGCTTGCTGCCTGAGGCATCCTCTCTTTCTGCCCCACACCCCCTTAATCTCAGGTTCCTGCCACACATGGAGGGGCTCCCCTCCCTGCTCCCTTGTAGTCGCCTGCTACCCAGGCCCCTCACCGGATGTTTCAGCCAGTGATCCTTAATGGCAGGCCGCATCTTCTTGTGTACGACCACCTCCTGCAGCTCCTCCAGCGAGGGGTGCTGGCCAATCTCTTCCTCAAAGGGCAGCATGTACTCATCCACGGGTCCTGGGGGTGAGAACGAGCCCAGTGGGTCACCCCCAGGTCTTGCTGCTCCCCACCCACCTGCAGGATGCTCGGGACCAGCTCACTCACCATCGGCAGCCTTGCAGCGGGAGACGAGCTCCCACAGCACCAGCCCCATGGCATACATGTCGATGCGCAGGAAAGCATCTCTCTGGAAGTTGATGGCCCCCTCGAGCACCTCAGGGGCCATGTACCGCCGTGTGCCCACCTGCACAAGGACGGGGAGGGTCTATGGTCACCAACTGTGCATGATGCTCTCACAGCCAAACAGGGAGGTACGTCCCTTGTGCACCAGATGGGACCAGGACGACAGAATTCAGAGCAGGACACTGACAGTGACAGCAAGGATCAATGCGCCACATTCATGGGAGGGTCATGAGAGGTCACGGTGTAAACTGTACCTCAATGGTCATTTAAAATGTCACACACTCGAGAAAGCAGTGAGCTAACCTGGAGCTGCTGCCCCTGCCCCACCAACACCTCACAGGTCACAACGATGTGAGTTTGAGATTAACACCAAAAACAAAAGAGGGAGGATACTTAAAAACATTAATAGGGATTATTTAAGGATGACTGATTTAGGCTTAATTTTTATTTATTTTTCTAAGTGTTTGGGTTTGGATTCTTAGCATGCTTCTATTTTCTCTTGCTTAATAATTATAACTGGAAAGAAAAAGAGAAAGACTGAGGTGACAAGAATGAGAGGCCAAAACCCCAGCTGGGAATATGAGTTTCTCAGCGGACGGGCTGGCTCGCTCGACGGCCCTCCAGGCCTTGCTTTCTCCCAGCGGGTGAGAGCACTGTTCTCGAGCAGCTCTGAGCTCGCGAAGCAACCCTTGGCCTGCACTTCGCCAGCTGAGCATTAGAAGGGCAATGCCACCCCTGTGCCAGCCCCCTTCTTGCACCCCAAGTCTCATTACCTGCCCATGGGTGTCCCCCGGAGGTTTCCCTGGCTCAAACCGAACAGCCAGGCCAAAGTCAGCCAGCACAGCTGTGAGGTCGCTCTTCAGCAGGACGTTCTTGCTTTTAAAGTCCCTGAGGAGACAAGAGGATTGAGATGAAGATGAACATCATGGTCCAACCTCCCTGCTCCTGGTTCCCCATCGTGTCTCTCAAGATACTGGAGCCTGCGCCCTACAGCCACCAGAGATCCCAGAGCAGGCCATTCTACCCTATCTGGAGCAGGGTCTGCACCAGAGTAAAGACTCGAGAGCCTGCAAGTGGGCAGTTTTAGGACATTCCCACCAATGCTGGCACGAGAATCCCTAACTGCCCTTCCCCAGAGCTGTTAGAGTGACACCTACCCCAACCTGCCTGGCGAACTCCATCCCAGGCCCCACAGTACTAAAGGCAGGCCCTTGCATTTGCAGAGGGGTTGAGGGCAGGCATATGGACCTGGGATTCGTGTTTTCTGAAAAGGGTTTACAGTATTTACGATGTGAGCAAGCACAGAAGTTGAGCTTGTCTGGGTTTCTGTGGAGGCCCCCCCGAGAGGCTCAAGCCCACCACAGAAGCAGAGCAGGGTGCTGGTGTGTGCGCCCAGCCCACCCCTCACAAGCAGTTACTTCCGGTCCTCAGACTCCCTAGTGCCTGCCTTGGCCTTGTCCTGAGGACTAACCTGAGGGACTAGAAAGCACACATGCTTGGGGCCGCCCCGGGACACTTATTATGCACTACTATTAGGTCGAACCATATGGAAGAGTCTACATTCAACTGTTTTTGACCTACAAAGATGGCAATTTCATACAGTCAACCTTTCAGGACACTACTGTCAGCACCATTAGGGGCCCTTCAGCTTTGAACCCTGGAATCCCAGGCTCGTTCCCCTCCCTCACAGCACACACAGAACCACACTACACTAGGGACAGCCACGTTACTCAACTTCTCTGCACTACTGTTCCCTTATCTGTGAGATGGGGCTGAGAAAAACCATCTCACAGGCGGCAGCGAGTATAAAATGAGCTGTATTTCTAAGTATCTATAGCACTAGGTGCCAGGCAGCAGCACTAAGACGAGGAGTTAACACAGTGCCCCAGAGGGTCCTTTCAGAGGATTTGCAGGGTCAAAATTATGTTCATAATAATCCATTGTTTGTCTTTTTTAAGCTCATTCTCTCAAGAGTATAGAGTGTTCCAGAGGCTACATACATGTGATGTCATTACCCTGACAGTTAGTGGAATGTGTGTGCGTTAATACAGCGGATGTCAACAGACATAAGCCACATATACAAAACTTCTTTTTAACTGTGGAAAGGGACTGGAACCAAAAAGTTTGAGAACTGCTGAGCCAACTCTCTGAAGTAATGGAGTCAGCATTTCCTCCTGCGGGCCACTGGAGGGCACCAAGAAACCGGCTTGCGAGGCCAGGCCCAGAGCGGGTGGGAGGCAGGCAGTGGCAGGTGGGCCCAGGCTCTTGTGCCCAGTCACCTCTGACACACCACAGCGTGGCTAGGCATGTTTATGAAATGAAGACACACACACACCCATCAAGGCCCCGTTCTCGCCCTCCAACCTTCTCTGTAGCTCCAGGCCAAGCACAGGGAGGTCAACTGCTAACGCAGGTACCTGTGGGCAATAGACGGCTTGTGGCCCTCACCACGGCACCAGGGCACGTCCTCGTGCAGGTATGAGAGACCTCTTGACATTGTCTCTGCTACATGACACAGTTCGTTCCACGTGATGATGTTCCCCTTGAGGTAATCCGTGAGGGAGCCCTAGAGGAGACAGCATAGAGCTTAAGCACAGGTTCTGGGTACAAGACAGGACCAGCCCTGCCCTGGGAGGCTGTCTCAGTGGACCAATGGCTAGGTTCCTCTCCTGGGAGGCTGGAATTGACATAGAAGATATATGAGGCCAGTAGAGGTGGGGAGGCAGGGATTCAGAGGTGTTAATTATGAAGTCACTACTCTTATTTGTAAGAATTTATCTGAGAGTTAGGGGTGCTTACTGCAGGCACTCATGTCCACACCTGTGGCAGAGTACCTTACTCTGGAAGGCCAACATGGGGCCCATGGTCGAGGTCACCCTATCCTGGGTGTCCATTTCTAAGGCACGTGGCTCACCTTGTCATGGAAGGCCGTGATGAGCCACAGCTCCACCTCGAGGTTGGAGCCTCGCTTCTCGGCGGCAATGAACTGCAGCAGGTTCTCGTGCTTCATGCCAGGCGTGCTGAAGATCTCCCGTTCGCTCTGCCATGACTGCTTGTCCTGAGGCAAGGACGCAGCTGAACCCCACTGCAGCCACACAGCCTACAGCAGAATCCCCGCCCTCACCCCATTCCCCCAGCCCCAGCACTGGTAAGGGAGGGAGGCAGAAAACCTGCACTGAACCAGGCCCTGGAGCACAGGCCAATAGTGATCCCGGAGATCACTGAAGGTCAGCACTTGATTTACAAATGACCCACTGAGGTCCAGAGAGGGTAGTGAGTAGCCTAGTATCACCCAACAAATGAGAGACACAGCTGGGCCTGGCTTTGCTAAAGGTCTCAGGCAACTGCTTGGGGCAGCCTGGTGTCCAGGATCTCTAAGTAGAACCTGACGTCAAAACAAAGCCCTGAAAACCAGAGCGCATCAAGGATTTGCAAAGCCCTACCTAGTGGTACAATAAATTTCACTACCCCCAAGGGGGCCCACTTCTTTCTCATCCCAGTGATAAGGGGCCTGGGCTGCCCTTGGGCAAGAGAGCTGAGGCCACAGCACAGGTGGGAAACCTGGAGCCCCACAAACACTCACCTGGAGCGGGAAGATCTTGACAGCCACAAAGTCGTTCATGAGCTGTGCCTTCCAGACACAGCCAAAGCGCCCCCGAGCCTTGATCTCCAGAAGCTGCAGTGGCTTCAGGCCCACCAGAGGGGATGGGGGTGGAGGTCCAGGGTCCTGGGGGAGATCAGGGCTTAAAGAGTCTGTCCTGGCCTCACCACCTCTACCCCTGCCCCGCCCTGCCCTGAGCCAGCCGTCTCACCTCGTGGATGTCTACGTGGCCGTAAGGGGCCTTTCGATGCCGGTACATCCAGAAGGCCAGCAGGACAATGAGGGACAGGCCCCCGATGGGCAGCAGCGAGTAGGCCAGCACCGTGAGCAAGGTGGGGGCTGTCGGGGGTGGCTCGTACGTGACTGGGGGACACACGGAGCCCTGTGTCACACAGCCCGCCCACCCGTGCTCCTCCAGGGCCAGAGAACCCTGCTGCAGCCACTGCCCACCCAACTCAGGAGCTGAGGGCTCCTCCCGGGCCGAGAGGCCCAAGCCCGCTTCTCCCAGGGCCCTCACCTTCCGGGCCCCCAGCCTCCGGCAGGTGGGTGAAGCGCTCATTGCAGAAGTTGCCTTCGCAGCAGCAGAAGTACACCTGGGGGTTCTCCTCAGTGGCCACACACTCCTGCCTGGAAGCACAGTTCCCCACATAAACCCTCAGCCGAGGGATGCAAGCCTCTCTAAGGCCCATCCAGCCAGACCTCTCCCCACAGACAGACAACCTCATAGGGAACCACCTCCCTAGAAGTGGGACCCAAAGTCGGGGAGGGACAGCTGGGAGGACACTCACTGGGAGCCTCCTCGGGATTGGAGCTGGGACCCTGCAGCATCTCTGCTTGTCCAAGCTCTCTCAAGAGCCCCTTGTCTTTCCCCTCCCACCCTGAATGCCAAGCTTGGATTCAAGACACCCTGAGACCTGCACAGACAGTGGGCAGTGTGCCAGCAGGTGGACTCCGGTGGGACCGAGGGAGGGGTGGCCAGAGGACAGGGTGCGCCCCACCTGTCGTAGCAGTTGAAGTCATCCAGCCAGCAGCCCTTCTTGACGAGTTCGATGGTGCCCGAGCTATTACGCCAGGAGGCGTAGCAGTGCAGCCGCTTGTCCTGCTCGCCCTCGCAGCGCTCCAGGCCGCTCTGGTTGGTGCGCTCCAGCTCCCAGTTGGCGTTGTAGTAGATGCACTCCCGAGTCTCGGCCTCCCCACGCCCAGAACCTGTGGCCCACCCCAGAGGGAGGTGAGAGATGTGGTGAGCACTCCACCCATCCCTGCTCCCGGTCCTGGACTCAGGCCACCCTGAGGGAGGCTAAGTGCTGGGTGGTAGGCCCCACACGACCCACCCATATGACACCTCTTAGCTTAGTGTGCCAGCCAGCAGCAGCTCCCCCATCTCATTTTTATCCCTGCAACTGTCCCCAGGCCCAATCAAGAGGGAGGTGGCCATATACCTAACAACACAGGCTGGAGAAACAGACACCCAGACTGACGGCCAGATGCAAAAAAGGGGGCTCCACCAACGCATGAGGCACCTGGGTGGGGGCTGCTTCCCTGGCCATTCTCTGGTCAGACCCCACCCATTCTGCATCACTCTGCAGTGATGGAGGCTCCTTCTAGAAGGCCTGGCCAGAAGCAAGCTGCAAATCTCAAAGCTCCAGTTAGGGCTTTAAGGATTCAGAATGTCAGCCAACCAGAAGGCTAGTGTCTAGCTATGGCTCTGGCCATTCAATGCCACTGTGCCTAGACTCAGACACAAGTAAGACAAAAAAGAGTGGGTTCCCGACCACCAGGCAGCTGGGACCCAGCCTGGTCCACAAGGTCCACAAAGAGGCTCATGTAGGGTGCACACCGGCTTCCCCCAGCCAGGCCCTGTACCCAGCTGAAGGTTTGAGGGGAGAACTTGAGGGAGCAGGGTGGGCGGAGGAGACCACAGGCTGAGCAAACACACAAGGCCCAGGACCCAGGTTGGCTCCCATCATGATGCACATAGGTCCCTCTTACCCATCTGCTGCAGCATCTGGCAAAGCACCCAGTCCAGAGGGCACAGGGCTCCTCTCCCAGTCTGGGGGCCCACTGCATTCACAGCAGCAATTCCATAGAGGTCCCCAGAGAATGAGACTCATGGGGCACACAGGGGAGCTGGGCACTGTGCTTCCCTCACTGCAGTTACACCCCACTGCCAGGCCTTGAACATGCTGGGCTCCTGGGCTTAGTTAGCACAAGTGACCACCTCTGGCTACAAGATGGTCCCCACTTTCCACTTTAAATGTCAGCTCTTCCCTCTCCCTGGAGACCAAGTCAACTCTACTGCCACATGCCTTTGTGCTCCAAAGTCTAGCTGCTCACCCTTGAAAGGGATACTTCAGGCATTCAGAAAGTGTAAAAATAATGTAACCAAAGATAATCCCCAAGAGAAATAACATAATGGAGACTCACATAAGAAATAATATATTACAACTGTGCTCAAAACCGCTTTTTAAATGTCAGGCTTCCCCCATGAGCCTGCGAAGTTGATAAAGGAAGAAGCCCTGTCTTGAGTGCTAGGACCAGTTCTGGACACATGATGAATGGATGGCAAGAAGGACCAATGAATGGACAGAAGGACACAGTTATTTCCTGGCTAAGGCAGGATTTCAAAGGGAGGGGACAACAGGAGGGATGGCCTCAGCCTGCTGCCCAAGCTCTTGGGTCCTCTGGGGAGTTTCCATCTCCATTCAGGCAACAAGCAACAAGCCCCCTGCCCAAGGCTAGGAGCCAGAACAAGGGAGGCTGGCAGACACTGAGAGTGGCCCAGTTACTCTCTCCAGGCCACAGATCAGGCAGGGACCCCTCTGGTCACTACTGTGGGCAGGACCCAAGTGCACAGGGCTGGGAACTCCAAATCTCAAGGCTCCAGAGGTAGAACACAAGGGTTTGAAATGTCACTGGACTTCACTCTGACCAGATCCTCCTACAGGTGACCAAGAAACGCAGCCATGAGCTGTCAGACTTCAGTCAAATCCTGGCTCTTACGCTTCCTAGCTGTGTGACCCGGGGCAAATTACCAAACCACCCCATGCCTCTGTTTCCCTGCTTGTGAAATGGGGTAACAACAGCACACCTCCTAGGGCTGTCCCCAGAGTGAAATGAGTTGGTGCATTTTAAGTCTGGTTAGAACAATGCCCAGCACTGGCATGTGAGCTGGTATGTTAGAGCCATATCCCTCCCCTGCTGCCCTTCACAACACAAGCCCCAGGAGGGGCCCCCAGCCCACCAAGCGAAGAGTGTTGCACGCTCATGCCTGCGAGAGCTTTGCATTCAGAGCCTGAGGAGGACCGGAGGAGATGGCAGACTCCAGGCCCCTCCCACACCACGCCCAAGCTCTGCTGCCAGCTGGAGACCCAGGGGCCTCCCCCAGTCTCCCTCTTCCCTGGCAAGCTCTCTGCTTCTGCATACACTCAGCTATTTATAGCCTCTGGCAACACTCCAACCACAAGGCCTCCTCTGCCTTTTAATAGACGCAGGGCTCCTGCCCACACTCATGGAGCCAGGGCGCCCACGCACGGGGGCTCCCCCTGACCTGCTCACTCACCCATTCTGCAGGAGACGAAGCTGTGCTCCTGAGACAGGTGCCCGCAGTGCCCCCTCATACTTGCTGCCTCATGGCTCTGACGGGAGCATGCTCCCAGACACCCAGGCAAGGGGCTTAGTGCATCCCTGAGCCACAGCCAACCCAACTGCGGGCCTCCAAAGGAACCCAGTACATAAGTGGCAGTGTCCGTAACAGGCAGTCAGTTCCTGTGTTCCTCGGGGCCCCCACGCTCTCCAAGCCCTCAGTCCAGGCAGGACAGAGAAAGCCCACTCCCGGACAAACACCACCTCCAAACAACAACAAACAACAACCAGAATACAAGCAGATTCCCCTCTGAACAGACCTTCTGGGGAGCTGGACCTTCATGGACCAGTTCTGATCCACGAGGAAAAGCACTGGGGAGGTCTGTTTCCCCAGTCCAGATGGCCCTGGACACCCCGCTATGCACAGGGGAGAAAAGGGCAAAATCCTACCAGGGCCGTGCCTATGAGGAACTCAAAGCGCAATGGGGACAGGGAAGAGTGACGGACAGATGGAGAAGTGAGGGGCGATCAAGACAGGGCCTTGGTGGGAGGATCTGAAGCTGAACTGGCCATATGCCCCCCCTAGGGTTCCCTGAGCTCTGGGCTTGGGGTGTGTCCAGCCCAGCCAACAGCCCCCAGAGGAACTGCAAACCCCAGCAGCCCACGGGCCACCGTACTCTACCCTTGGCTCCTGAAGGCCCCCACAGGGAAGCAGGTGCCCAGCCCCACCCACGCAGGCACTGCAGTGTGGTGAGAAAGAGATGGAGGGAGCCCCACACCCACCTCATGCCCCGGTACCAGCATGCCAAGGCACAGCCTTCCAGAAGCCTCTATGCCTGAGAGGTGGCTAAGTGAGGACCACTCAGGCAAGTGAGGCTCCTGCCTTAGGCTTCCCTACCCGGCCCTGTCGGAAGGCAGCCCTGCAGTCTGCTGAGCACCTGCTGCCTCAGCAGGTTCCCCAGAGGAGCCGCCGGGTATCCGTGTTCGTGACTCCACTCCCCAATGCACACAGTGGCATCTTCACCATCTTCCTTTCCCCACAGCCACAGTAAGGATGGCCACAGGGTCAGGACTGAGGGAACCCTCAGGGGATGGCGGGGGCGACAAGGGGGAAGGCTGATGCGTGAGACTAACACACACACAGGGTGCACGCACTGTGGAACAGCTCATATATGCAATGGGGCAGAAAAGAATCCAAAACATACCTACATTTCTTTCACCTTTAAACTTCTTTCCATAAGAGAATAACTCTAAGTACCTGTTTCTAGCAGCCAAACCCAACCTCTGACACATTTGTTTTTCCCTCCACGCCCATATATTTGCGAGCCGTCCAAACCAGTACACATTTACTCAGCGAACTCCGAGCAGGCACTGTACACTAAGCACGTTACAGACACCTTATTCAATACCCCTGGCGATGCTGTGAGGGTCCCGAGGCACAGAGAGGTGAAGTAACCTGCCCACATTTTTATTAAGCATCACAAACCGATGTAGACCCTGGGCAGCCCGGCTCTAAGCACGCACCCTTTTCGCCCATTCATTGCTAGCGCTGCGTCTCAGTCCATCGCAGGATCCACAACTTAAGCTGCCATCCTCCGGTTGGACTCAGGTTACTTTTGACGTTTGCTGATTTAAGCACGGCCACTATGAGTCCTCTTGAGTCCTCTGTGAGTTTTCTTATGCTCACGTGTGGGCATTTCTCAAGGGTACACACCCACAGGTTAGAGAGGCTGGGTGTGCATCTTCAACTCACTAGGTACCAGCAAACCACTCTCCAAAGTGCATGTACCAATTTATGTTCCCAACATGTTCCCATTATGTTTATGATTACTTCTGTATTTAAATTTGTTTTTTTCTCTACTGCTAGCACCTTTGCATTCTCTTTTAAAGATAAGCTTTTTTTTTTTTTTTAATTGCCTTTTGAGAGAGGAAGGGAGAAAGGGAGAGAGAGAAAGAGAGAGAAACATTTATCAGCTGCTTCCTGCACATGCCCCACCCAGGGATCAAACCTGCAACTTAGGTATGTGCCCTGACTGGGAATCGAACCCACCACCTTTCTGTGTATAGGACAACACTTCAACCAACTGAGCCACACCAGACAGAGCTGGATTATCTCTTTTAATTCCATATTTCAGCCACTCCTGGTCTGGAAATTAAACAGTCTATTTCAATTCTATTATAGGCTTGCCTTTAAATTTTAACATGTACATTTATTTCTAAAACTCTAAAGCTAATCACCATTTCTACCCCCTCAGAGGAACGTAATTGTTGTAACTCCAACGACCTCCTTTCAACTTACATTAGTTTAGTATAACATCTGTGTTCAGTATTTTAATCTGTTAGTTGTTCTTACCTGCCTCCCAAAGCAGATATTACTTGTGTTTTACACAGTCAATATTTTATTTGTCCATGTGTTCATCGGCTTGCCTGCTCACCCATCCCTCCTGCATTTCTGTTCTTCCTTCTGGGACCACTGTCCTTCCTGAAGAACATCCTCCATCAGTCAAGATCTTTTGGCAGCGAAGCCTTTGTAGCTTAATGTCTCTCATTTATTTTATAAAGTTCCCAGCTATCAGCTCTTCTGCCTCATTCTCTGTCCTTTATTTCTGTGGTTCTGGTTACAT